GGGGGGTTGAGACAAGCAAGATAAACCCAGGAGTCCTGGCTCCCAGACCCCCCTCCCCCCTGCTCCCACTAGCCCCCACCTGGCCCTGGAGCCAGGGAGAGAACTCAGGGTCCTGCCATTCCCCTCCCCCGCCCCGATCCCACCTGACAGCTGACGAACTGCAGACCGGGGGGAGGTCTGGTTGTGGCTGATAACCCCATGGGGCCGGGATAGCCCGTCCCGGCGCAGCCAGCGCCTCCTGGTGCCACCCCCCCCCGTGTGATCAGTCCTGACAAAGGGGGGGGGGCTGGTACCCATTCAGGCATTTGGTGAGGGGAGCTTAGACAGCAGGTGTGTGTGTTTGCACATCAGCCCCCGTCCCTGCAAGCTGGTTGCACATGCTTGTGGGGAACTGTAGTTGCACGGCGTGCAAGTCCCTTTGCACGTGTGATGCCCGAAGGGTGTGTGTGAGTAGGAACCTGCCTGGCGGTGCAGGCCTCTGCACATGTGTGTGCAAAGGGCAAGCCTCATCTGCATACAATTGTGCAAGCGCTCAGTGCCCATGCGTGTGCAAGCCATGGGGGCAAGAGGGCGCCGCTCTTTGCACGTTCATGCATGCATGTGCCAGCCCCTGGCGGCAGGTGTGCATGCACGGCTGCCAGCTCCGAAACGTGCAAGGGCAGGCGCCGACCCAGGGCTGGTTTGCATGCCTGTCGCACGCGAACTGACTCTTTCCCCTTCCCCCCCGCAGTTCCTGCATGCCCGGGTGGCCCCATGCGAGGCCCATCTTCACGACGCTGGTGCCACGGCCCTGCTCGTGCTCGGCTTCACCCTGCTGCTGCCGCTCCTGGTGCTGGGCCTGGCCGCCTTCGTCCGGCTGGCCCGGCGGCTCCAGCTGGGCTACTGCCTGCTGCCCTACAGCCTGGCCGTCTACCGGCACCTGCCCGCCGGCCGCTACCACCAGGCGGCTTGGTGCTGCCCCCGGGCCCGTGCGCCCGCCCCGGGGGACAAGGTCTGGGTGTGAGGGGGCCCGGAGAGCCCTGCTGTGACCCCCCCCCCACGGGTGAGAGACACCGGAGGGCACCCGGCTGCCACTCCCCACAGCGAACGAGGAGCACCCCGCAAGATGCAGCCTGGGAGGACTCCCCCTTGGCGCTGACACCCCAAAGAGACTGGGGGGGCAGGGGAATCGCTGCTGGTTTGGGGTGAGCGACTCCTCGTTCTGCCACTGGCTACTTTGGGGGGCCAGCGTTTGCGCCTGGGGTTTGGGGGAGGGGCTGTTAGGGGCAATCTAGGGAGGGCTGTGGGTCTGGACTGGGGGAGCTGTTGATCTCTGGGACTGGACTGGTTTGGGGTGGAGGGGCGGGGCTGGGTCTGAGCTGGATGGGGTAGGGGGTCCTGGGGGGCTGAGGGTGATGGGCAGGCTAAGGTGGCTGTGGTGGGGCCTTCAAACGAAGCGGACGTGTGTGGGGGGGGTCATTTTATTATCAATAAAAATCCTTTTCTATCCAGCAGGTTCATTTCTTTATCTCCCCCCCCCCCCCAAATGTTTGTGTGTCACTCAAGGGAGGGGGCACCCCCCACCCTCAGGTCCAGCCATGGGGAATTCCCCCATCTGCTGTAGGTCCCCCTTCTGCCCCCCGCCATGGGGGCAGGCGGGCTGGGCCTGTAGAACTCCCTGCCACAGGATATCTGCCAGCAGGTTCCCCCCTATTCCCCGTGGACTCCGTTGGGCCGGGCGCTGGCCTTGCCCCACCAACCCCTCATGGCCGTTCCCTGACCCCCGCCTGCCCTTCCGCTCCGGGGCTGGCCCGGCTCCACGGCAAACAGCCACCGGGGAAACACGCTGAAGTTTTCCATGGCTGGAGGGAGTAGAGGCAGGGCCCAGGCGCTGGGGTCGGAACCACCCAGGGGGCCGGCACCCCACGGACCCGCAGCCCTGCCCCTGCTGGGGGGGCAGGGGTCAGGTTGGAGGATGGGGAACCTGCCAGCGGAGGGGACAAGGGACTGGGGTGAGATGGGGCCAGGAGCTGGGAGAGGGAGGTGGAGAGGGAGGGAAGTGATGGGTGCCCAAAGCAACAGAAAATCAGTGACAGAGCCAGGGAGAGAACCCAGGAGTCCTGGCTCCCGGCTCCCCCGCCCTCGTTCTAACCCACCAGCCCCCTTCCCCTCCCAGAGCCGGGGAGAGAACCCAGGAGTCCAGGCTCCAGCCCCCACTCGGCATGTTTTCGAGCAGGCTGTCTGGCGGGGGGGGGCTGGCGTCACTGCGGGGAACATGGGAAGCAGCTGGGGATAAGATAAGCGGCTCCCCCGGGGCGCATCCTGCAGCAGGGGAAGGGCAGGCCGGAGGCACAGAACGGCCCATTGTTCGGCGCTGATGGGAACAGCAGGTGCTGGGCTGGGGGCCAGGCCCGGCCCGAAGCCACCAAGCCGGGGAGTCCACAGCGTGGTCCCCCAGCCTTGGACTGCAGGGGCAGCAATGGCCAGCAAGGGGTTAACAGTGCTACTGGGGGGAGGGGGAGCAGGGGAAACAAATCAGGAGGGGCTGCGGGTCCGGAGTGAGGGTCACCGGCAGAGCTGGGGCGGGGAGGGCTGGGCTGGCGGGGGGCTGCGGGTCGGGAGTGAGGGGCACCAGCAGAGCTCGGGGGAGGGGGGGCGGCAGGGCTGGGCTAGGCTAGCAGGGGCTGTGGGTTGGGAGTGA